TTTATTATGTTGCAAGCTTGCATCCATAAGGTCCTATTTCTTAACTTTGTGACATTCAGTGAAGCACAAACGATAAACATTAGTGAGAATGTGTGTGTATGAGCAATGGATGCTATTCTTCATCCCATTCAAACCAACGGCAAACAGCTGCATACTTCTGTTTTGCTCTTCTTCTTCCCATCCAGTATGATTAATGCAAGCATGGCAGAACACACGTTTCTCTGGAGCAGGAGTTTCACCATGCTTGATTGGTGATCTCTTGAAACTGCACTGAGCTTCAAAAACGGCTTGGGAATTGGACATCATGCAAATATGGAAAAGAAGAACAGCAGTCCATACAGTTGTGGCATATAAAGAGCTTGGTATTGTCACCATTATATTGAACAAAAGTCCATTCATTTCAGTAAACATAATATCACATCACAGCTGTGACCTAGAGACCTTGTTCTCTGGCAGAAGAAATCAAGTGAGCATCCAGGGCTTCATCTATGCCAGTGGGTATACACTCTAGTGTGATTATGGGATTTTGGACTACAAGTCTCTGGCAATTGGCCATGTTGGGTGAGGTTTATGGTAGCTGCAGTCAAAATGTCTTATGGGCATCAGGCTGCCCCAGTTAATATCTGAGTGGAATTATTCAGGTTCCACTGAATAATTACAGGTGACAGAGCTTACCTGACCAAGAAAATATGAAAATCAGAGCACATTTGTTTGGCATAAACTTAACATCATTATCAGTTGTAGTGTTATCACACTTGGATTCAGATGGAAGAAAAGATTTTATATGTATGACTTGTGTGTGTCTCCTGAGCATGCAATATCCTGCAAAACTTCATCTGAAACGGGGATCTGGCAAAGAAGCCAGGTTAAAGAAATATTAACAGGCAAGATCAGGCCACTGTGAGGCTAAAATGATCCCTGAGGAATTTAGAAAATGCAGACTGTTGGCTAGATTACATAAAAGGAGGGGAGCTTTTAGAATTTAGTGAGCAATTTTCTCTATAGGTGCAAAAAGTATTTTTCTGACTGCTTTTGTTCTCATATTCAGTCACTTTATTTATTTATTTATTTATTTATTTAGGAGACTTCTATGCCGCCCCATTCGCCGAAGCCTCGGTGAATTTACAGCCAGCAGCTATGCAACAGTGGGCTGCTGATAAAATTACCTCTTCAAAACAAGATTAGACAATTCTGCACATGAAATACAGGTGCAAGAAATGTGAAGTACCATTTGGCAAGTTAACTAAGTCTGCAATCCAATGCACACTTACCTAGAATAAGCTTTATTAAACAAAGTGGGGCTTAGTTCTGAGCAAGCATGCATAGGCTTGATATCTGATCTTCCAAAGCTAGTATCAGCCCTGGATATAAGCAATATCACATTTGTTAAAAGGGAAAATCAACTTTCATGGACAACTTATAAACACACTTTTAAATTTCCCTTCACAAGGTAAGACTGTGTTATTCATTCTCACCTGTACTCCCCATTCAAAGTAAACTCCGTCCATCTCTCCCAGATAATAGCAATACACTCATCATGGAATTCTTTTCTCTGAATCAATAACTGCGTGATGCTGAGGAAAATGAAGTATAGCACCATCAAGCAGTTACACTTCACCTATCTAAATTACCACTGCGCTTATAATTGACACACTATCATATACTTGGTTACACCATTACATTTTTGCAAATGTAGTTTGGCACTAACTTTCCTTCTGTGCACAGAGTAGCGCTGTAATCCACTGTGGCAGAAATAGCTAGAATGATTTGGTGTGACCTTCCAAGGACCCACCAAATTCTAATTTCAATGTATCCAATGAGGCAGCATGCTGGAAGAGTCAGGGCAGACAAAAGGGAATTGAACTTTGCACAGTGTATTGTTAAATGTAATGGAATTCACTGGTATAGAGACTTATGCAGCTTGAAACAGCAGTATCTGAAGCAACCTTTCCCAGCCTTGTTTTCCTTGGCTGTTGGGACTTCAGTTGCCATAATTCCCAGTGATCATGGCCAATAGTCAGACATACTGGGAGTTGTAGTCTAAAACACTTGGAAGGCACCAGGCTGGAAAAGCGTAGCCTAAATGAAAGTTTTCCCACTTATATGCCCAGCTCTGCATCAAGATTATCAGTGGAGACTCTTCTCCAGACTCCCTTTCAATCTTTGTCTAGAGGAAACCATGAGGAAGAGGGCCTATTCGGCAATGGTCCCCTGCTTGGGAGATGCTTTGCTCTGAGATTCCATTCTGGCATCTTGCTAATGTTCATTTGGCACAAGGCTATGACAATATTTTCCCTGACACTTTTAACACCATGCTTACCTCATTCTATTATTAGTTTCTGTTGATGATGATCAAGTTTAGCTTTACATAATTATCAGAGACATCTGGTGTGGCTGCCCATAACTTTCCAGACTGAAAGGATTTTGAGCATCCTGTCATGGGGAGGAAGAACATGGTGGCAAATGTTGCCTCAGTGCATCTCCCACTCTGCAAAAGAGGAATGTTCACCATCTGTCTTTTGCCCCACTCATGGGGAAGTTCAGACATTGCCAAGACACACTGCACCCAGTGGATCTTCACCCCTTGCACCCCGCCTCTTGGAACACCCATCCAACACTAGTTCTGAGGTTATTCTTCCAATCTCAGAACTGCAGACAGCATGGAAAGAACCACATTGCAAAGGTGGAGCAAGGGCATTCCAAGGCCAGAATTCCAGCTCTGACCTTGGAACACAATCTGTCCTATGACCATCCAGTTATGTAGCAGCCACAGGATTCTGCCCTGACTCTTACTGGTGCTGGTGTTTATCATATTCTTTTACAGGTGAATTGGATTTCAGTGCTAATTGGCAGTTTTCTATTGTTTTAATTGTATGTATCAAGTCATGTATATTGCCTAGAGAACTGTATTTTATAAAGGGACAGACAATTGTAACAAATCACTCTGCCACCTTCCCTTGCAAACATAAGAGCTATGGGTAATGGCAGAGTATTTTTCCTCCCAGAACATTTCTATATATTTTCTAATCAATTCACAATGCAGAGCCTTCTTAGGGGTGCTCAGCTGTAAGACAGATTCCCTCTCTCCACTCAGTCATAATTTAGGTTGTCATTTCCACAAGAACTGGATTTATCTTTTCTCTTTATGTTAGGTAAAAACACTATGCATGTTGGTGCCACTATACCAAATCTTCCCAATTAAGACTGCAGTCCTCTTTACATGTACCTGGAGTGAGTCCCATAGAATTCAATGGGATTTATATCTGAGTAGAGTTGTATAACAGTAGGGCTGTTAATTTCCTATTCACTTAACATAGAATGCCCACCAAGGGCTGAAAACCTTGCAACTATAAAAAGAGAACCTATTTCCTTTGTTAAATACTATGCAAAATATCTGTGGCAAAGTTACTGCAACAGATGGACTTCCATGAGGGAGTCTGATACTGCAAGTGACTTCCACCACCTCCAATAGACATCTACATATATCCCATTCTCATGGCTAGCTCCACACATATCTAGAATAGTTGCCTAAGAGATGTTGACAAGACTCTTAAGAACTACTTCTACTACATTCATCTGGACTCCCACTTCAGAATGGTATGGGAACACCATTTTCAAATTACTAAAACGAGTAACAAGATTACATTTCCTAGACAGCATCATGATCTGAATTTACATGTAGCACTTGAAACTACCAGATCAAACTTTTATGAATAAGGATTGCTTAGAACTCTGCCTAACAGCACATCCTTTCTACAACCAACCACACCGCTCAAAAACCTGCTCTTGAGGTTAGATAGGAAAGAATCAACCCACCCACTTCCACTGAGTGACACAGTTCCATCAATGGTGAGGCTTCACCATTTATCTGCTATAGTTTGACCCATTATGCAAGTTGTAGCAGAGGTCAAATAAACACCCAGATATTCTAACCACCTGGAGAGCTTCAGCTGTTGAACAGTATAGAAATACAGCAGTTGGAATCTCCTGCTTTTCTATTGTCATCCTCTAGCCTATTATTAGACCCATACAATAAACCCACCTTAGGAGTATCATTCATAGCCCTCTATATGCATAGGACTATTTCAGTGGATCAGTCATGCAAATGTCTGTACTTATCAGTAAATTATGCTTGTTTCAGACACACTCATGAACAGAAGAGTTAACAAATTTCTTCAGGAAACATCAGTGAAGAGGTGGTACTTTCATAGTAAAGCATTAGCAGCAAATTTTAGACCTGTTTACTCTGAAGTCAGGGGTCAAGCCTAAAGCTTCATTTCTATAAAGGCTACCTGGCAATTGTGAGCTTCAGCTCCTGGGCAGCCTCTGCATAAACAAAGGATATCATCCATTCCAAACTCTCAGGTTGACTCTAGAAATGTCATTCCACTTGTAGATACCATTCATGAAAGGGCCTAAAGTGCGCTAGCTGCAGGTTACATGTCAAAGGCCACTGAATTTGCAAATGCACTTTTAACATGTAACCTGTGATTTCAGCTACAAGTCTCCTATCATGCACAGCAGATGTGCCTCCAAGCCAGAACAGGCAATCTTTTTCAGTCAAGAGCCACATAGTTGAGAACTGGCTGCAGACAGCATGGGAAAGCAAAAGTAAGCTGATTACTCTGCTATTTTCCCATCCCTTTTCCTCTCCTTCCTCATCACAGAGGGCTGATGACATGCAGAAGGCTTTTGAAAATGGGATGGAGGTAGGTGTTAAGAAATGTATCTGGGGACGAACTGGACATGAGGTAATTGTTGAGACTGCTTATGAAAGTTTTTCACTTAGGGTTCAATGTTGGACTTAGTGAACTGCATCTTTGCTCAGCCGTGCAATGTTGTTAAATATATCAATGCACTGACCAATAAGTTAGGCCCTACAAAGAGAGTGTGTATATTAGATATAACATACCTAACATGTTTATATTTTCATATAACATATGGACCATTTACAAAATGGCATTTAAACCAAAGAAGAAAACAAACATTTGCAAATCAAATTACTAGTAGAATTCTCATTTATAACTTTGTTATAATTGAAAAAAATGCTACAGCAAATGTTATGCCGAATGAAACGCAAGACAGGAATTAAACAACATGGGTATTCCCTGCTCATGGACTCCAGTTCTCTTCACAGTTCATCTTCTGCAAATTGTCCTCAAATGATGCAGTTTGCGCTAGAGATGAACAGTCTATAAATTTGTATAGTATCGTTCACGGTTCTGGAACTGTCTATATGCATAGTTTGCATCTGATTTGTTGTGAGGCACTCTGTCAAATGGTTCGTGATCATTGAAACAGGATTCAAAGACTTCATCCACAGCTTGCTCTGCCATCTCTTTGCTGACTTTTCTAACAGCCAATATGGAGCGAATGGCTCTGTCTCTTACACAAGTCTGAGAAAAGGTAAAAAATGAAAACATGGCACAAATTATGAAATTTATTTCAAAAGATATTGCTAACTGGAAAGGCCTATTTTCAGCTTTCCACCTGAAGCACCACCCTCAGAAAGACAACAAGGGCTCAGTCCAGTGAGGCTGAGTGTAACCCGCTGATCTCGGGCCAGCTCTGCACTCTTCCTGCAGACTGCTGATTTTGGCAATCTAAGTGTCCAACCCTGAAATGGACCAAAAGAGTGCAAGGAACCACCAGGATATTCTCTATACTGGTCAAGCCTGTCTCCAGCCTTCTTGATTCCCACCCCTGCCCCACAAAGCCTGGTTCTTTCTGTGCGGGCTGTGAGAGTGTTGGGAATATGTTCTGAGTTCACAGTCCCAGCTCCAACCTTTAAGTAAGATTCTTCAGATCTGAGACTCCAAAAAACTCTGTGGCCATATAGATTCTGTCTAATTGGCCAATACTCAACTCAGTAGTCAATGTTAGATTATTTATAATAAATGCCTGTCACCTCTGCCACTTCTGGAAGAACAGCTGCAATAAATGGTCCTATCAGAAGGTGTAGCAATCTTTGTTCAGCTTCTGGCCTTTCAGTATATTAAGCAGCACACACATTACTTGGGCTTCAAATAATTGGATTTCCTGACAACTTGAATTCTGGAAATATTGACCTAAGCTTGGCTATTGCAGATGCAAGCTCATATAAAATACTTCTGTTTTTCTGGACATACTCTTTCCTCCAAAGTGCAATGTTTAATTCTTCCAGCTGTCTAAGGTAAAGAACAGTTGCCCTAGGGAAGCAAGCAATTTATATTCTCACTCCTTCCAGACACCACAGTATTTCCTCAAACTGGAATCAGCATTAGACTCAGAAAGGCAATTCACAGCCTGGGCATAATCAACCAAGGGCCTGGATCCGGTCTGTAAACCAGAGGTTCCCTAACACTCCTTTATACTGTGAGAGAACAGACTAGCTACAGACTGATGGGAGCATCACTCCAGGCTCTCATGTCCCATCATGTCCCGAGGTTATATAGCGAGGGGACAGCATACAAAAACTTTAAATAAATAAATAAATCACCCAGACCTTACAGTCCCTGACATTGATTCTTTCCTTCACATGAACCTTTTCCTCCCTTTGAGGCTGACTGAACCTCAGAACGCAGGCGAAATGCCAATGGAGAAATGCCAATGGAGACACCATTTGTAAATTTGATCCTCTTCTTCCTTTATGAGTCAACTTACTTGATGATGCTGTTTTAATCCAAATTTAAATCGGGCCATTTCATTTTTGAGGGAGCAATCTCCACTGAGATTAGCAGCTCGAATCTGTAAGGAAAACACAAAACTACCAAAACCTGAATAGAGCCATCAGAGAAACACAACAAATCCTAGCATGCACAAATTGCCCTAGAGTTTTCTGGTGGAGATGCCACTAGCTAAGGATCAGTAATTCTATATGCCATATCATCAAATCTTCCACCTAATGGCTCTGCATCCCCTACAGTTTGCTGCAAAACTACAGATTCCTACTTGTTATAATAATGAAATGCTTAAGAATTCTGGAATATGAATGGCTGACCATGCAAAAATTGTTCACTGACATGGCTCAAAGTTTGTCTTCTCGATCACATGTTCAATTAGCATTGATTTGTTTTGTTTAGTTTTTTTGGGGGGGGGGGTTGTTTGTTATGTTGCGTTGGACAAGAATGGGAACACATGTTGATGTGGGTGTTCTCTTGTTCCGCATGATAGCCAGCTCGCTCTGTTCAACAGTCTTTAAACTTTTCCAGGGTACAGAGTCAGACAGGTTCCTTTTCCACAGCACTGGAGCCAAGGAAAAAAAGCTTAAAACTAAGCTAAGCAACCAAGAAGCTTATACAGTAGCACCTTAAAGAATAACAGATTCATTATGATACAAGTTTTGATAGACCAAAGGGAACTGTAGTCTACAAAAATGTATGCCATGATCATTTTTCCTTCAAAATGCTAGTACAACTACCCCCGCCGAAAAATAAGTAAGTGGTCACACAGTGATTAATGTCCCCACACAGCATATGTGTGGTCTTGTTTAAATGCATATTGTTCACATAATTTATTGCACTTAGTTAACTGAGTGGAAGCATTATTATTTTATTGTCACATTTTAGTGCTGAAGAATTTATGGGGCAGGGCAAGTGAGATAGTGCTCAAGTCAGGCAATTTTCCAAGCCAGTATTTCGAGATTCACAGGATGCCAGATTCATTTGCTACCTGCTTCCTCATAATGCATTATCTTTCTCCAAATTTTCCAGGTCATTCTAGTCATACTTTACCATATTGTTATTTTTATAATAGCTTCTTCTATCGGTTAAAAGAAACGAGAGAATAAATTTTAACCTTTCAGTTTCTGTTGTTTTAAATCTGTTTCTGTATATATAAATATTTGCATTACTGCTAGGTTTTGTTTTGGTTTATGTTTTTATTTATACTGTAGGCCTTTATATTTAAACATTTATATTGTATCATATTGCATCTTTTAATTGCTGCAAACTGTTCAAGGAGCTTTGCTTGCTTGCCAGTTGTGAAGTCGCATCCGACCCATCGCAACCCCATGGACAACACTCCTGTAGGCCTTCCTGTCCTGCACCATCCCCCGGAGCCCACTTAAGCTCACACTAACTGCTTCAGTGATTCCATCTATCCACCTCATCCTCTGCCGTCCCTCAATTGTTCCCAGCATTATAGGGCAATATAGAACCCCAATACATGAATGAATAGATGCACAAGTGGAGAACAAAAAGACAAACTGATTTTGCTCTTGATTGTTTTATCTACTGAAAATGAAATTATAAATAAACCATTAATGTAATCAACCTTTCTGCTCTCCTATCTTTCTTACTGCCAGTAACTTACTTTCTTCAATACTACAGAAGGCCTGCAAAAAAGTTACATATTGTAAGAACTCAAAACATACCTTGAATAATTAAGCTAGCACTCTGAGGCATCTTCTATTCTATGCAGTAATAATCACCATTTTCACCCATGCCAATATATGGTCAGTTAAATGGACTCAAGATTCCCTGACTCCCATCTGCACTATAGCTGAACAGTCACAGGGTGATACCTAAAGCATCACTACTGCCCAGAAAGTACAGCCCTAGCCCTGATCTGAAAGTGGCCAGAAAACTGGAAGTAACTTTAGCAAAACTATCCCTCATTGGCAAGGAGAATCCTTCCCGCGTTCTGGAAACTGAGTATGAAAACATGTATGGTTGATTTTTATTACTGAGTCAATAATGTGCCCAAAATTTAATTTAGAAAAAAGCTGTGCACCACACTGCAAAACCTTGGTGAGGAATAAGCTTACGGTATTTTAAGAAGTTTTCTGGCTTGTAACAATTCTAATTTCTATCCTTTTCAATGCCTTTTCTGTTCCTATTTGTATATATGTAATATTTTAAAAGAGAATATTGATGTTTTCCCCCATTCATGGTCCCCTTTTTAAATAGAGAAAAACAAGATCTCAATAAACCAAATTCCCTCTTTTTAAAGGGACTAACTAAAATAAATTGTAACCAGTATGCTTTTCAAAGTGGAAAAACTGATAATCTCACTGATCGCTTTCTATATTAGAACCACTAAATGACAGTTAGTATACAAACTGGCCATCTTGCTCCTGTTAACAAAACTGGGTTCAGAATAAACCAAAACCCAAACTCTGAAGTAGAACTGTATTTATAAACAATATTTTAGGTTTGGCATTAATATGTTCTTGGCTGCCTTATTCATTCACATCTGTGAGAACTGTTTTAACTTACCTCTGAACAAGCTAAATGCTTGACGTTATTGAACCAGTCCACGTGCGCACGGCAATGATCGAATGCATGGATAAGTTCATGTGTGACCACTCTGTTCATATGAGCCTGATAATGAATATTGTTTTGGCACAGAACAATCTACAAAGAAGAGGGGTGATAATATTGTCCAGATAATTCAGAAAACAGTTTAACCTCTATGGTATATGCAGTTTTGCTTTAATGGCTACACAATACATTTGGTCTTCAGGATTTCCCTGTTCTATATACAGCACCGGTCAACTACATATCTAATCCGGAAGGGGAGGAACTTTTAGGAGTGCCATCATCCAGCTTTTTTCTGCCAAGTCTTGATTCAACCAGGTATAGTCAGCCTTGTCATAAGCAAGAAGAGAGCAAGTCACTGCTCCTTCCTCTGCATTCTTTGATGCAACTGGGGAAGAGGTGTTCCACAGTCAGCTACACCCCTAACATTGCAATGTGAAGAAGACAATACAATATGTTGCCATCAAGCCCTCTTTTAACCTCTGCCTTTGCTCTCTCTTTTCTGGGAGGAGGTGGCCTGTGGCCTGCCAGATCATACTGTACTGCCTGGTGCAAACTAAGCCTCTCCTCTGTTAAAGGCATAATTCCATGCATATTTGGACAGAGTAAAATTCTACAACCTCCCGTATTCCTTGATCAACCTTTCTGCTGGAGAGGCAGGAAGGTCTAAGACTTTTTTTTTTCCTTTTTAAACAAGCAAAAAATTGTGCCATAATCTCCTTAACTGGAGACAGCAAGAGAGCACAGTGCTGTGGTTTGCCTAGCCATGCAAGGAGGGGCCAGCCCAGGAAACTATCAGAGGAGCTGACATCCTCTGGCCCCACAGACTACAGCCCAAGTCAGCATAGCTAAGTTAGGATAGGGGAGCACCAAATCTTGTACATATATGTTGAAAATAGAAACGTAGAACTGGCATGTGATATGCTGGAGTTGGCAAGAATATACAAAAGGCAGGGCACTAAGACATTTCAGCTGCATGCCACTCAGGCTTACATAGAACTAGATGAGGTTTACATCAAATCAGGAAACTATACCCAAGAGCAGCAGTGTTCCATTGCTGCCTGACTTTTCAGCAGAGGTATTTAGAGGTTCATGATCACCTACTTACAAAGACTTGCTGTCATCTAAGGTTAACCTATCACTACAATAATCAGTAGATTAAAGCAGTACTGCAGCAAATAAGTCAATGGAATTCATTGATAAAAGAACACTGATGCGCATAGACCAACTATGTAGTATTAAAAGAGGAGGAATCCACTCGAGGACAAGAAATTGAAGAACTCAAGGGCCTGCTTCCTGAAATTAGAGGGAAGACTGAGGATTCCAAAAAGCGTGGAAGGATGGCTGAAATGTCTCTGAAAGCAACTTTGGTTGGTGGATTATCTTCTAGTTGTTTTTCCACAGAGGACTGAAAACAGTTTGGCTTCAACAGTCCCAGCTGGACAAACAGATGATGATGCAATTCAATGTATTACAAACATCACCCATCTTGTTAGGGGGGAAAAAGAAGAAGAAGAAACAAGTGGAAGAAATTCATCAGCTTGTTAAATTCAACAAGCTACAACTTAGCCAATGTAGCTAAGAAATTTAAACCAGGACTTGGTATCAGTGGTGGTGATGATCCTGCCGCCAGCATAAAATGAGGTTGCAGAGCGAATGGAAGAGATAAAGAGGAGGCCACAAGTTGAAACAGTTCAAAGTGCTATATAATAGTTCTTTAATGTTGGACAGTCTCTCCGAAGGACAACAGGCTTGTATGTAATGCACTTTTTCACTTTGGGAAAGTTCTGTGTTCAATAATGATCATGCTCTTGCTGTTACAAGTCATCAAGTCATCTCTGACTATGGTGACTTATGAAGAAACACCTTCCAACATGGCATCTTCTTGACAGCCCTGCTCAGCTCTTATAAATTCAAGGCTGTGGCTTCCTTTATGGGGTTGATTCATATCATAGTTGGTCTTCCACATCTTCTGCTTTTGACTTTTCCTAGAGTTATTGTCTTCTCCAGAGAGTCTTAACTTCTCATAATGTCTCCAAAGTACAACAGCTTCACTCCATCATTTTTGCTTCCACGGGAAGTTCTTGCTTGATCTTATTCATCTTTCTGTTGGCCAAGGGTATTCACAAAGCTCTCTTCCAGCACCATGTTCGATATACAAATAAAGACTACACTCAAATATTAACATTACCCTTTAATAAGATGCAATTCAAAAAAATCCTGCATTGAGCAGGGGGTTGCCCTGGCCCCTTCCAACTGTACCATTCTTTATTCCTATGAAACATGGAAAAGACTTTCCAATGTGCACAATTATATGATGTTGAACAGTCTGACTGGTTGACAGTGGTCTAATAGGATGCTCCATTTTAACTGAATAATTCTCTCCTGTGCTGGATTCCTGCATTTCAACCATTCTATTACTAGTAATAAAATTCACTTTTAGGGTAAAATCCTACCTGGAAGGGCATCCCAAGGGCCTTATGACACTGCATGCCTCTCCCTCCTTGAGCACAGAGTAAATTCACCAGTGGAGAGATAATTTGGCTCTCAGAAATCCTTTTTGGATGGTGACAAATCTTTAAATCGCATTGGCTGACACAATGGTGGTGCTCTGGTGTCATTAAGAGCATACAAGTAGTGGATGGGAAGAAACCCACCCTTAACTGAATATTCATCCAAAATAGGGTGAAAACTATGTAAGCCCACAGCCAGCATTACGTTTTTCTTCCAATGAAAAGAATGGGAGAGAAACCAAGCAAAAGAACAAGCAAAGAAAAGGAAGGACAGATACTTTCCATGTACCTGTGGTTTTGTCAGCATAAGACCAACACCTAGCAGTTCATCTGCTACATACTCTCATATTGCTAACCTCATTTAATGGCTCTATTAATGACTTTATTAATGTCACTGGAAATGTCAGTTCAGAGAAATCATGATTACTTCCACATGTGGAACATTAAACATTTTATTCTGTGAATTTATGCAGCAATTACATTTTCCTAATGCAGAAGATATCAAGGTTTGTTCTGATGCTGGCAAATTGCTCAATAACTACCTGTGAGGTTGACGAATCAAATCCTCCACTGACACACCCAGCACAATCTTCACATGAAAAATGTCGGTCTTTGAAAGCAGTGCTAAATGGTTAAAGAACAACATAGGTAAGATTCAAGAACAACTGCTAGCTTCAATAATAATATAAGTACAGTGAACATACAACAAATCAAAAATCTTCTTACCAGCCAGAATTCTTCATAGCCTCAAGCAACAGTTTTGCATATGGATCTAGAACAAACCACAAAGTCATTGGTCAAAAGTAAATATCCTTGTGTAGTGAAATAAACTGTAGGCTACACACTTTTGAGTGTCAAGAAAAAAACCTGTTATTGTCAGAGTGCACCATTTATTCATCAGAAATATTGCATTACCCAAAAACTGCTTATAGATGTCATCTTCCACATGACAGTCCCTGACATGGCCAATGCATCAATTACGGTCAGCTGCTTATTTGGCAGTACAATCAATCCTGTACAAGGTTATTCAGAAGAAAGTCTCAGTGAGACTTACTCCCAAGGACTTGTGTATAGGTGCAACTTGCATACCTAAAGGAACATAAAATTTTGCCTTATAAAAGGAAAATCACTGGCACATGTGGTTTAGGGCCAGTCTTCCCCAAACTGGAATCCTCCATGTATTTTGCACTATAACTCACAAAATTCCTGCTCCATGACCATGAGGTTAAGGCTGATGCAAGCTGAGGCTGGCAACATCTTTAAACATACTGATAGTTAACAAGCAAACTGACCGTTCAAAAATCCTGACAGAAGAAAGAGCTCATCACTTGGCACGAAAACTACTACCACATAGGCACCACACAAGCCTCTTTTGGGAAAGCATCTCAGAACTGGGGTGCCACAACTGAAAAGGCCTTTCCTTCGGAGACATCCATCACACCTTATTTAACAGGGCTACACAGGGAAGGGTCTCTGAAAAGGTCGGCTAACTCTTTCGTGATCTGTTGAGTCTTCAAATAAACTCCAGACTGTAACTCATGCAAAAGAGAAGGAGCAGGAACCGAAGTACAAGGAGCTTTACAGAGTAGCCTAAGTAGACAGTTCTTTCTCCCAAAATTTCGCAAGAGGACCAACGAGATAGAGCAATAAAAATAGATAAACTTTTGCTGTTCTCTCTCTCATGCACGCACATATATTGCATATGTATGTACTGCATATATATATATATATATATATATATATATATGCAAGTCCCACTCCTCCCTCTCCCCGCTCTCCAAAATCCTCCCTCCTCCCTCCCTCTTTCTGTGCTCGCTTCGCGCTGTAGGGCGTGGGGGGAGAAGGTGTCCCCGAGTTGCCCTGGGAAACTGAGCGGTGCATCGTCCACCACTCTGGGGGCGATGTACGTCGGGCACTTACTCTGCTCCAGGGCGACCTTCAGCATACATATACACCTTTTGTTTAACGTGAAAATTCTTCTATAGAGGAATGACCGTTCCTTCTTCCCCTCTCCGCGGCGTCGCTCCGGAAACAGGCCGTACCCGAAGTCATCCTCCTCGGCGCCCGGCTGCCGAGGCTGCTCCGAATTCATGGCGAGACTCGCCCTGTCCCCCTCACGCCTCCACGCCGTCCGGAAGAGCGGCCCTGCCAGCCACGGTACCCAATCCGCAAGCGGAGCAAAGGTCACATCTTACCCAGAACATAGAGATAGGAAATTAGGAAAACTATCCGTATGTCTGCGGAATATGAGGCATGTAGTTGAAGTAGCCGAATCCGAGGAAGAAAGCATTTGCCGATCCTAACACATACCTATTGCCTCAGGTTCATGCATATTTAGACAGAATAAAAATCCTACAACTCCCAGCATGCCGAAAGCTGTAGGACTTTTTTATGTCTAAACGTGCAGGTAGGAATGTATCCTAATTATCTTTTCAAGGAGATTTAAAAAGAAAAAAACACTCTAACGTCTACTCCTCTGCATTCGCTTCTCGATAACGCGTTCTTTACATTGCTGGCTTGGAAGAGAAATGGGGAATAGAGAAAAACGCCGTGACCCTGACACCAAAACTGAAGAACGAGGCGAGTGAGGGCTGCAGGTGAGCGTGACACTCCTTCTATTGCAGTTCTATACGGCGCTTCTTTTATGTCTCTATGGTTTCCACGGAGGGACGTCCGCTAAGGGCGTCAACGTCACTACGTTGCGCGCGGGGTGAGCTGGGAAGGCAAAGCGGAGCTTGGCGAGAGCGGTGGCTGCGAAGCGAGAGGGCGGGATTTAAACCACGCAGGTGAGGATGCGGGAGCTCGTGCACGTTGCGGCGCCCCGTGAGGCGGCCCGGGCTGGGGGACGCCTCATGTCTGCCCCGGGAACCTCGGGGTTCAGTCGCAGGGCTTCGGTTGCGGAAGGCGCCCTTGAAGACTTCTGCGTGTTTCCTCTCGTAGTCGGAAGCGAAGGGACGCTTGTTTTAGTCACTCCGTTACCACGTAGCAACAACCCCTGACATGAGGATGACTTCTGAGGGAGGCTTCCTCTTTTTCTCGCGCTCTTTCTCGTACTCGGATCTCGTTCTTGCATGCTTTCTTTCTCTGAGCCTGAACGTGAACCTTTTTTTCCCCAATGAGGGAAGATCGTTTGCGTGGTATTCCCGGTTGATCCCTGCCAAGGTGTTAGCTATATGTGTGACTCGTGTGCTTGTTCACGGCTTTGTCCCCATTCACATATAAAGCAGAGCGGAGAGGGCGACTTTACATCGGAGTGGGCAACTTACAGTCTTCCTGATGATTTGGTTCGCAATTCAGCCCTAGGCAGTATAGCCAATTAATAGAGTCGTAGGCCAAAACTTCTGGAGGACTGAAAAAGTTGCTCATTCCTGTAGATTAAGCATCCCTTTCATACACTTTTTACTTGTTAATCTCCCCGTTCTTATTTAGTTGCTCTTAATGATTTTCTCAGGTTCCAGTTTAGAAAGGGATGGAAATGAATTAGGAAAGATATAGAAGGAGTGATGACTCTGCACCCCTCCATTGTCTGATCCTGTCACTGAGAAAGTAAGACTCCTCCAACATAATAAATGAGCTGGGCATGTTATTAGCAGTCCTGTAATTTAGTCTCTGTGCTATTTTTGTTCACTAAACTTGGTTCAAATGATTGTACCTTGCTTTCCCCCATAAATAAGATATCCATGTGATAATTATTACAATATTAGAGAATCTCAGTGCATAACACATCATTTTCTTTTCTTAATCTAGTACTGCAAATGCTTGTTAGTGGCCTGACTTTTCCCTCAATATATCTGATTACCAGATGACATCTCCAAATAAAGCACTCGAGTTACAGTTGCAGATACGGCAGAATGCTGAAGAACTGCAAGATTTTGTGAAAGACTTGGAGAACTGGGAAAAGGACATTAAAGAGAAGGATTATGATTTAAGACAACAGAGTGGAATCCCACCAAAGGTAATTCACTACTCTGAGATTAGGAATTACAGATTTTTAAAGTAAAAATGTGTTCTTTATCTAGTGAAACTCATCACTCTGCCAACAAAAGTCTGTATAGTCAAAGCTATGGTTTTCCCAGTTGCAATGTATGACTGTGAAAGTTGGACCATAAGGAAGGTTGAGTGCCAAAGAACTGAGGCCTTTGAATTGTGGTGATTGAGAAGACTCCTCTGAGAGCTCCTTGGATGACAAAGATATCAAACCAGTCAATCCAGTAAACCAGTAAAGAAAATCAACCCTGATTGTTCTTAGAAGGCCAGATACTGAAGAGAAGGAACAACTCACTGGAGAAGATGCTGATGCTGGGAATGTTTGGCAGCAAAAGGAGAAGGGACAGCTGAGGATGAGGTGGCTAGATGGAGTCACCCGGGGAGTGGGTGTGGGCTTGGGTGGACTCCAAGGGATGATGGAGGAAAGGAGAGTCTGTGGATGTATGCTGTCCATGGAGTCATAGTGGGTCAGGCATGACTTTGCAACCAAGCAACAAATCTAGTGAAACTGCAAACAAATCACCTGATTCCCCCCTTTAATTTTGCCATCTTGTATTTAGCTTTTCAACTCGGTGTTATGTTATATCAGAAGTGTAAACTACACTGAGGTTTCCTTTCCTTTTAGATACAGAGCTTATCCATGTTTCATGGCATTCTAAAGTTTATAGAAAAGCAAGCAATCATTATGTAAGCATGGGAACTTTTAGATCATAGTCTTGATACTGTCAAGACAGGATGTCCAGCTAGTGATATGAGCTTTCTGGAAAAGTAGTAGAATATTTGTGTAAGAAAATGTTCACTTTTCGTAGAGCAGTTTCATTGGGGTAGACAGCTTGTGGTCTTCCTAATATTTTGGTCTACATGTATCATTGTTGGCTATGCTGACTGAAGTTTATGGGAGTAGGCTAAAACATCTGTTCTTAGAGATATCTGATTAGTCATTTTTAATTTACTTTTAACTAGCAAGCAACAACACTTAAAACAAATACTCCATGTTATCTTTTTGTACCAATGCACCATGTGTATAAAACTCAAAATAGTTGAAGAAAGGTGTTAATACACACTTAATATAATTTAAATGTTATACCATTTTATTGAAGTTTTTGTAAAAACTTAAAGATGATAAATCACATTATCTTTAACTTATTTAAATTTACAAAGAAAGGGAGAGCTAATACTGTTTATACAGTGCACTATATTATTAGGTTTATAAACCTAACTAGCTTCTAAGTTATTAGAGGTTATTTCGAAACTAATTACAACTTTTTCTGGTATTTAGGATTTACCACCAATTCGAAATGAAGCATATAAGAAAAAGAAGAAGAGCAAAGTTAAAGCGGTGTCTAAGAAAACTACTGAAGAAAATAAAAAGAACAAAATAAAATCCTATGATTATGAGGCATGGGGAAAGCTTGATGTGGTAAGTTAATCTTGTCATTAAAATGCTATGTGAAATTACAGGGTTTAGTGGAATTTAGACACAATATATTAAGCTTTATGGATTTTTTAAAAATCACATTTTTAAATAAATATATTTCAGGTTACATCAAAATGGACTTAATCTTTCTAATACTCCCATAAGTTCTGATTTAAAATGTTATAATTCATTTTTGAAATAATTGTCAGTGTACAAAATAAATTCCATATTTTAACAAAACACACCACCTCCATTTTTGTGTATGTTTGTGAAAAAAATACGGCCTTTCTTATGTGTTGTGTAATGTACCATGACCAATCCTAATTTTAATATGTGGCTATATTTCTACACTTTTAATTTAAGGAAAGTAATGTTTACTCTGTATAACTCTTTGTATAGTTTTCCCCAGTTCATATTCCCTTAGTTCCTTGTGAAGACTTCATTACTTAAATGGCGCTTTCTCAAGTACAACCACATTCGTGACTTAATAAGAATGCTTAGATTAGCCAGGATTTCTGTTCCATGTTGATCCAATTCAAATGCATAGTGATTAGACCGGAGTGCTGCTGCCTAGATTATATACATTCTTCCATCTTATTTTGTGATTTTAGTTGAAATACATTTCATATACCATTGGAGGCTTTTTTTAAAAAAATTGAGCTATATCTTAGCTTTCTGAGGACTATTCTATGCTTTATGTAGAAAGAAGTGACAGAATTCTGATAGATCTATGCCCTTTTCCATCTTTTCTTGCATTTAACTGGCCCTTGTTTTCCAATAAAATATGAGGGGAAAGTATGCCTCGACAAGACTGGACAGGGTGGTGAAAATCTGCAGAATTATCACATATACAGATTGTTGATGTATATCTTCTTGTAGCATTGACTTTGTACACAATTGGTTTATTCACCTTTACTGCTCCCCTGCTATATTATTTATTTGCTTTTAAATGTATGTTATCTTGAACTCAAAATATGTTCTTTTCATTTATATTTGTGTGTGTATGCCGTTCCAGGATAAGATCCTTGAAGAAATTGATAAAGAAGATAGTGCCCATGACTCAGTGTCTGTAGAGTCAGATTCAGAAGAAGATGGAATTCACATAGATACAGAGAAGGCTCTTGCTGAGAAAGAAAAGGTTACTTTGTTTGTTTACAAAAAGATACCTTGTTTTGAAGAAATATGATTGGGGAATATTTGCAAATATTCAGAAAGAAGCCATACTTATTTGGTATTTGGCTGCCTTAAAAGTAATTCTTCAAACTCAGTCCTCTTCACGGGCACTCCTGTGGTAATGGTCATATGCTCCCAAACTCAAAAACCTACCAGTATACAGCACAGAGTGGGAGAAGCAGTGTGAGCTTTGTCTCTGTCATCTTCCCCTGCATTTAACTAGACTGGGAAAAACACATTTTGGGGAGGGAAGAAGTTGGAGAGGCCTCATGATAACCCATACATGTTTACCTCTGATAAGGTCTCCTCAGGCTTGACTAACATAAAGTACTTTATTTGACAGCTGCTACTAGAATTGGTCTGAAACTTATAGCTGGTGCATACTACAGCCACCTGAACTGAAAATGGGAATACATAACTCAGTTCGAGTAGCTGTCTATCAGCATTTCAAAGTGCTTGTCTCAAGCTTTAAAACCTTAAAGTCTTTTGGCCAGGTTATGCGACGGCCTTCAGCCATACAACTCTACCTGCATACTAAGATCTGTTTTGGGAGTCTTTCCAGAGTGTGTGCTCTTTAAGAAGTGTAAGATTACCATGCAGTAGAGATGGAATACCACTGAGAAGTTTCCAAGTCCTTGGAACTCGCTTCTAATAGACCTGTGTTTTTTTAACATTCAGCTGAGCCTTTGAGAGGTTTGTTTTGCCTAGGTTGTGATTAATGCCACAGTTTAAGTTGGCAGGGTAGATTCACAAAAGTAACTTCGTACTCTTGTGCTGATACGATAGCATTTGAATTGTACCTTATCTCTCATTCATTTTTGTCGATTTCATTAAAATGCCTGCCTAAAAAGCAGCTTAAAATTAAATAAAAATCAAACTAGGAAAGGATGGAAGACAAAAATAGCCCTGAAGCATACCATAGAACTACAGCCTAGTAGAGATAGGACCAACACTATCACATTGTGGAAGCAGTTTTTAGGAAGGAGAAGCATGCCAGTCCAGAGAGGTATCATGACATGAAGAATGTCATGGCTGATAGTATTTATTTACTTGAATCTATGTCCTACCATCCTGTTAAACAAATGTCCAGAACAGTATCAAAAACCACTGAGAAGTTCAGAATTCAGGATAACCTTCACAATTCTGTCACTGGAGTAAGTAGTATGAGCCAAAAGAAAGTTTGAAATGGAACAAATGGAAGGTGGTCAGATTTAGGAATAGAAATAGTGGGGTGCCGGAGGTGGGGGAACAGATGATGAATGGCCGTTGTCCTTCCCATTCATTTGTTTACACTTAAATCCTGTCTTTTCTCCATTTTACCTCTTCCCTCACGATTTTATTATCAAGCCTCCATATGAGTTAGGTTGGTATAAGAGAAGGTGACTGGCAAAAGGTTCTCTATTGCCCAGTTTTCTCTTTAGGTGATTAGTCCTCCTTTTGTTCATCCTTTTTATTCATTCATTTTATAAAACGTGTATGGAGCTTTTTGGTCACAATGGTTCTCAGCGTGTCCAGATTTTATATAGTCTTGCTGAACTTGTAATTGAGGAAAATTCAATTTCAGGTGCTCCATATGAATAACAATTGAATGTGGGTGGTCCTAAGAAATAGGTGAGCACTGGTGTAAAACATGTAAATATGCTACCTTTCTAAAACAAATTAAGCTTGTAGTATATTTATGTCCCTAACTGGTATATCTTGCTTAATAGGGCAATAATTATTTTAAACAAGGAAATTATGATGCTGCAATAGAATGCTACACAAAAGGAATGAATGCAGATCCTTACAATCCAGTTCTACCTACAAATAGATCATCTGCTTTCTTTCGACAAAAAAAGTAAGTGTTGCATGGGGTGCATTTTTGCTTTATTTTGTGCACAAGTAAGAGATGATCCTTGATTGTAGACTGACATAGAAAAAGATGGAAAATAAATGGTGTTCTGTGTAATAAACATTTTTATTAGGAATAAGTGATTAACAAATAAATTAACCATTTTGTGAAGGAAGAATGGCATAAAAACCAGTGGGAATCATGCATTAATATAAAAGGAAGGTGCATAATTTAAAAAGACATTAAAGAAAAAGTAAAAGTAGCTGCATTAACATAAAAAATCAAAGTCTATATTAATGTAGTATATTTACTAGGTCACAGATGAACAAGCCTTCAGAATCAGGAGATCTGAACATATCACAAGTTTGCACATTCTTTGTGACATAACCAGAATACTTCACAGCTACATTTAGATTAGACTCAACCTGCTTTTTCAGTTTAATCCTACACTTGGGATACATGGGGGATTAGTCTCTGGCCGCTCTCAGTTTGTGTGCGTTCAGCTATAAGTCTGTGCCATCTATTTTCTGCAGATTTAAAAGCAATGATAATTCATATTTAAATGATATGCATTTTTCCCTAAAATATTAATTTTGTATTCATTTTCCACCAAAATATGCATGTTTGTACTGAAAACTACATTGAAAAAATCAGCGATACCTGCTTTTTAAGCTATTTATTCATCTGAAAAATGGGAATTAGGTTGGCCTGTTTAAAATGCAAACCAAACAAAATTCTCCAACATCCTTAGAGTAGGTAGCAATGGAGATTAGTTCCCTGCTCCTTTGGACTCACATTTCTGAGAAGTGCATGTCTTGTTCGTATGTAATTTATGAGCATGTATTTACGATCATAAATATATGATTATTTCAGGTATTCGGTGGCTGAATCTGATTGTAATTTAGCACTTGCCTTGAATAAAAATTATACAAAGGCTTATGCCAGAAGAGGAGCTGCTCGCTTTGCTTTGCAAAATTTTGAAGGTGCAAAAAAAGGTACATGTCTATTTCCAGCAAACCTGTGTGTTAAATATGTAGGTGGTCTTGAATTGTTGTTTTCTTCTTATGCCTCTGAATCAAAAACATTTGATTTATGGATCGACCAAGTGTAATTTCACTTGCAAATTTCAGTGTAACTGGCTTTTGCTACTTCCATTTCTCCTGTCTCTTAAAGTTGTATTAAAAGGTCTGGCCAAACTAGTAATACCTGTGTATCCTCACTGTCCACATGAGTTACTTCTTAATTGAACAAGAGTGTTAGTAAAATGTTCTCTGTACCTCAGATTTGCTTGGATATTAATGGTTTGTAGGATCTTAGAATCATCTTGCCATTTGTTTTACTCCTTTATATGTGGTGGGGGTAGACCTTTTAAAAATTTACAGTGTACAAATGAGTTCTTAAAAATAATCTTGCAGATCTGTTTTAAATCCAACTTAAAGATTTGCATTAAAGCTGGTCAGTTTGGTGTTTTTTTTAATTTCGAAAATTGAGATCTGTGCTCCTAATTGTGGAAGAACCCAAATATATTCTTAGATTCAAATACGTTGAAGCTGAAAATTTCCCAGAGTAAAATTATCTGTCTTTTGAACTATAACCCTCTGTTTGCTCTTTTCCCTAAAACTTAAAAGTCTAGTGTTTTGATAATTATTTTAATAGGGCCAGTGTGTGACATTCATTGTCTTGTAGTTTGTGTAGTTTTTAAACTACACCTTCATTACATTATATAAGCACTGTTGATGTGATTAGCAAATTCTAACTTCTCTCTAAGAATTCTCCTTCTGTAATACTATTTGTCATATATTGTATAGTATTGTATTATATACTGTTATATTTTAAAAATAGTATATGACCATCTTTTGTTCTTTAGATTATGAAAAGGTTTTGGAACTGGATCCAAATAACTTTGAAGCAAAAAATGAACTTCGAAAAATAGAACAGGTAAATAGCTTCAGTCTACCCAGTTTGTCTTGTGAACATTATTTTCTTTTTCGTTACATAGTGGAAGTATCCTGTATTTTTTATATATGTTTTAGGCCATGTCAAAAGAAGCGTCACAACCAAAAGAAACAGAAGACCAAAAGAAAATGTCAGTTACGGAACCTGAATTTAAACAAATGGAAGAACAGCAGCTTAAGCAAAAGGCTATTACAGAAAAAGATTTGGTAAATATAACAAAATAACATTTAAGAGAAATGTTTTTTGAGGTAATTTAGCTTTGTATCCAGAAATGTTTTATACAAATCTTTTTACTTAGGAAAGCTTGTGGTTCTATTTATGCACTGTACAGAACTAGAACCTAACGTTGAGTGTGTGACAGGATGAATATCTAACAATTACTTATCATGAGTTCAAGAAAATTTTAAGAACCAGTTGTTGAACTAAATAGTAAGAGAACTAGCTTTTTAGCTAATTTGCTTTTGTGACAACTTAATGCTAACCCTGACCTGGGTACCACATGATGCTTTGTATTGCTGTATCCCAAGCATGCAGTGCTTTGCATGATTGTCTAAAAAACATGCTATATGAGCACAATTTCCTTCCTTCCTTCCTTCCTTCCTTCCTTCCTTCCTTCCTTCCTTCCATTTTCAAGAGGAAATATTGAATAATAGCTCCAGAGTATTCACTTGTATGACAATATTGAGACTCCCATGTTATAACCTATGTCTGCATTCTTTTTCATTTCCAAATATCACAGGGTAATGGATATTTTAAAGAAGGGAAATATGAACAAGCAATTGAATGCTATACACGTGGCATAGCAGCAGATGGCACCAATGCACTTCTTCCAGCAAACAGAGCAATGGCCTACCTGAAAATTCAGAAGTGAGTGGTACAGATTCTGCCATTCCTAATTGTCTGTAAATTTTCTTACAATTAAGATGTTGTTGTTGGTCGCGAAGTCGTGTCCGACCCATCGCGACTCCATGGCCAACATTCCTCCAGGCCTTCCTGTCCTGCACCATCACCCAGACTCCACTTAGGCTCACGCCAACTGCTCCAGTGACTCCATCTAGCCACCTCAATTGCTGCCTTCCCCTTCTTCTTTTGCCTTCAATTGTTTCCAGCATTAGGCTCTTCTCCAGTGAATCCTTCCTTCTCATTAGGTGGCCAAAGTATTTGAATTTCATCTTCAGTATCTGGCCTTCTAAAGAACCGTTAGGGTTGATCTCCTCTAGGACTGACCGGTTTGATCACCTTGCAGTCCAAGGGGCTCACAGGAGTCTCCCCAGCACCACAATTCAAAGGCCTCAATTCTTCGGCACTCAGCCTTCCTTAAGGTCCAACTTTCACAGCCATACATTGCAACTGGGAAAACCATAGCTTTGACTATACGCACTTTTGTCAGCAGGGTGATGTCTCTGCTTTTTAGTATGCTGGCTAGATTTGCCATAGCTTTCTTCCCAAGGAGCAAGCGTCTTTTAATTTCTTGGCTGCAGTCCCCATCTGCGGTGATCTTGGAGCCCAGGAAAATAAAATCTGTCACTACCTCCATTTCTTCCCCATCTATTTGCCAGGAAGTGAGAGGACTGGATGCCATGATCTTAGTTTTCTTAATGTTGAGTTTCAAGCCAACTTTTATACTCTCCTCCTTCACCCGCATCAAGAGGCTCCTTAGTTCCTCTTCACTTTCTGCGATTAGAGTGGTATCATCTGCATATCTGAGGTTGTTGATATTTCTCCCAGCGATCTTAATTCCAACTGGTCTGAAATAATTATTAAGAAACCAAAAAAGTATTTCATTTGATATTCAGTAATGACTAATGATTAAAAATTCCTTTCTTTACTAAGATACGAAGAAGCAGAAAAAGATTGTACTCAAGCTGTATTACTAGATTCTTCATATTCTAAAGCTTATGCCAGAAGAGGGACTGCTAGAGCTGCACTGGGAAAGCTAAAAGAAGCTATGCAAGGTAGGATGCTGAACAAAAGCATTTCTGATGTGTTTTGCTTTACCCAAATCTCTCAGTTAAATGGGCTTAATGTGGCATTACAGCATGCAAGACCATGCTTACAGCAATTGGCTTGTTCATACCTTGTTCTGGGCATTGAACTGCGATGTAAGGGTACAAGAGCATTTCCAGAGCAAAGCACTGATACCTTAATTCTATTCATATAAAAACATTTTCATTTCCGTGTGAAAAAGGATGTGTCAGAATACAGACCCTGTCTGATTTGCAGATTGAGTGTCTAGTCAAATTGGCATTCTGAATTGCCCTTTTATCTTGATATACTGGAATCATGGCTACGTTTCAAAAGAAATCAAAATGTTTAGGCCTGAAAGAGAACAGATTAGACTGCTTAAGTAATATACAGTGTTTTGCTATTGTCACAGTTCTAATTACCCCAATATTAAAAAGCTTTTTCTTTAATGTCAAGATTTATCTACAGATGTGTGTTGTAATTTTGGAACAAATATTTTTCAATAGCCTGTTAACAATTGGAAACATTGCTAAGCAAGTCTTGTGCATTCTAGTTGAAGAAATCTTTGGAAGAGATATGGGGTTCAATGGGACTCTCTGGTGCTTAACTATCAATGGCTTGTGCCTAAACAGTTGTGGTTATTGAAGACTATTTGCGTTTTGCAGGACTAGAATCTTCCATGATGAGTTTATTAAAAGTGATCATTGTTTTACTTTGTGTTTGTATTTTGTATGTGTGTTCATCAGATTTTGAAACTGTTTTGGAGCTGGAACCTGGAAATAAGCAAGCCATGAATGAAATAATGAAACTTAAGAATGTAAGTGTTTTGGTGCATGTCTCTTTCTGTACATAGTTTGCAGCTTCAATAAAAGATAGTATCTGTTTATTTTCTGATTTTTATGGATAGTTATTTGATTAATCTTTTTAAGGAATTAATTGCAAAAGGGCTGTGGACAAACATAGAATGCCCTGGACTATCACAGAATGAAACACAAATGCAAAATCAGGTGAAACCCATTGATAAACCTTTGCATCTCAGATCAACAGTAAGTACAAATTATAAAAGATACATTTCTTTTTATATTTCTCTCTAAAACATTTTTGCTTCTATAAATTCAGAAAAGAAAATGAGTGCAACCATAACCCTTCCCCTTTCCTCACATGCACCTAAGAGAATTGATAAATCAGGATTGAATTTCACTTTGCCCAGTTTCTTGGTTTGTTACATGCAATCTAAAATCATGCAAAATAAAATGTAGATAACTGCTAAACAAGCCAACTACAAGCTCGGTATTATTTAGTTGTCTTTTTTTTTTAATCCTAAAACTTACTTTAACCATGATTCTTGATTTATGCTTAGTGATAAGCTAGGAATTGTCTAAACCAGAATCCTGGTCTGTTCCTCCTCTTGGTCACATAGGAGGAATGGGGGAACACATGAGTCCAACACTGTCCGCTGGCTCATTTTTACATGCATGGAGCAGTAAACATTATGCATAAGTGCAGTCACTGAGTGTGCAAATTCTTAAGGTTAGATGATGTGATTATATGTATATGCTGCCCTTCACTTCTTTGGTGAGGTCGATAGACAGAGGCAAAATTCTTCTCATCTCCTATTAAAGAGAAGATGAGAGATGATGTCTTCTTGTTTGATTGCCACAGTGAATTTGTTTTTAATGTGCCACAGAGCTCTTCGTTTTTTCTGTGACACTGCTACTCTTCAGGAATATATCTTGTTCACCAATATGTTAAAACTATGTGCCTGCAGTAATTAACTGTCTTCATGATTGTTCTGTTCAGAAACCATTAAGGAGACTAATAATTGAAGAAGTAGGTCAGGAGATGCTGAACACAAATGTGGCTACCACAAATCTAGAGCCTAATCAGTCTGATTCTTCAAGTGTAGAAAAAATGGAGGCCTCAAAGTCTACAACAAATTTAAGCAAAGATGACTTCTCTGCTCCAGCTGATGTTCCCAAAGCAAAGTTACTGAAAATAGAAGAAATAAGTGATTCTGTGGCAACAGAGTAAGTATGCTTAATATAGTATCAAATAGGAATAAGAGACTTGAGTAAATACTTTGCATAATGAAACAAGTAATTTTGGTAGTGTTTTAAATTAGCCTTCAAATTCTGTATGGATTAGAGGATTTAGCTCAACATAATGCTGAAAGGCATGGTTTCCTGGAAAGATTAGATTTTTAAAAAAAATAAAATATAGTTGCTAGAAATTACAATGAAAATAACAATCATTGCTGAGAGTGCTTGTATATTTGACATGCTTTTTTTGCGCTATGAAAGAAGAAAAAGCATTTACTTGTGTGGTTGGGTAAATTCACTTTTGATTCTGCAACTTGATAATGCTCTGTGGAAGCTATAAGAATTTGTTGTTTCTCACTTCTCCTTGCCTTTTAGAAAATTTGATGTATTTTGGAACAATTGTGCCTATTTCAATATTTGTGCACTACATAGCACAGCATTTTGAATTTAACCTTTTAAAATTATTCTGTGTCTAAACTTTTACATTCCTTAGAAAACTTTTTTTCTGGGTGGGCAGAAGCATTTAAATACTCCAGTTGGATCTAAAATGTATTTCATGTGTAGGCAGTCCTGTTGTGTAGGATTAATCTTGTACTTTAAAGCTAATGTTTGTATGATTAGACTTTGAAATCTGTGTGTATTCTGCCAGGCTCTTTTCACAACAGTGGTTTCCCATGAAGGCTGCTACTGAGATTTCTTTTGGGGAAAGGGTGTTTTTATAGACTGTCCCATGAAACATGCACAGTGATGGTGCAGAATAGTGCCTGTGCAGTATAGGTACTTTGCACGATTGATGCCAACTGAGTCTTGCATTGCTGTACTTCTGCTAGCTGTTTTCTTGCCTCTTCACTGTAGCAGGCTGTCTCTGTTTTGACAATCTACTCCCTAGTTATTTTAGTCGAGGTGAGATCCTTGTATTTCCAGGAACACAAACAGATTTTTGTGCCAATAAAGCACTTGCTGGAGATTTTTGGTAAGGGTGATTGTAGGTGGGTACAGCCTTAAATGTAATTGCCAAGCTGTGAATTAATTGTGTTAAAGTTCCCAGTCACTTACATTGAGTTTGTACTCCAGCACAAATCCCAAAGAAATTGTGCAACAGTGGTGCATGATGCCTCGCATTCTAAATCATGGACTGGTGTGTGTGTGTATCTACTTAGCTTCTGTTTAGGGTCTGTTTTCATATGCATTATCTGTCATAATGTTTTTAGATCTCTTAACAAAGATACTGTGAAAGAAAAAACATCACATATTCCTCAGCCTGTTGCTATGAAAAAGCAAGCTGAGACAGAAAGCCAAACACTTCACTCTATACCTGCATTTCCTGTGCCTCCAGTTCCTGTGAATTCTTTTCAGCTTGAATCAGATTTCAGAAAATTAAAAGGTCTTCCAGATCAATTGTACGCATACTTGAAGGTAAGTTAAGTCATTCTTTATAGATGATTGGTTTCTGCCATTTTTTCAGTTTCATATCTGGTAGAATCAAAGTGCAGTCTTGCATACTTTTCCTTGGGCTAAAATTTCAAACCTCTATTTTGTTAAATTCAATCCATATTTTGGCCTTTTGGAGAGCATAATTGATCCTATTAAAGCCTTAGGGACATATAGGAGTGCCTTACTGGTGTTCTCAATAAGCATCCAGTTAAAGAAGCTATTTCCAAAACCAGTCTGAGGAGTACCATGCTGCCTGTATCTGTGGGGAGGACTGTAGATGTATGGCAGATCTTCAGGGATTTGGAAGTTAGAAGGTCTTGAGCTCCCTTCTTCCTACTCTGATGCTTACAATGACTCTTTTGAGATAGCTCAAGCAGAGCAAATTATTGTCCCAAGATCACCTGTTAATTTGTTACGAACTTTAGGACTGAGGAAGGTTTTGAATCCAGGAACTTGGAGAATATGTTAAGGCATGTATTCATTTTATGTAGGGCATTAGCTAAACCTTTTGAGCCTTACTGTCTCTCCGCATGTGTGAAAGAAATTTACCTTTCTATGAATTGTGAAAAGGGAAAAAAAACCTCATTGATTCCCTGATACAAAGAACATCAGTGGTGAACAACACAAGCTGCATGTTCAAAGGAAACTTTTCCATCATTACTCATCTTAGTGAAGAGTGCTGATAAACTGCCAAGGAAATTCTGGATTCCCTAGAACAATTTAAAACTATGGGTGTGGTGAAACTTGTTAGTTTGGTTCCCCACTATTAATGATTTCTTTTTGATAGGCCCTTTGCAAAAACATGAGTTTTGCTAGTGTTGAATATTTGCTGAATTTTTATACATGTCTTTTTTTCGTTCAAAGCAAATTGATCCTTCATTTTACCCTAATTTGTTCCAAAAATCCTTGGATCCAGATGTATTTAGCCAAATTTTGAAAATTCTACAAGAATTTTACATTGGGTGAGTTTAAACCTGTAGCTTTTTAGACTGATTTTATTGCTAAACATCTGTGCTTTTTTATTTACATTGAATCCCTTACTGAAATGTGATGTTGATGTTTTCCATGGTATGTGTCTGGTTGCATTTCAAGACAAATTTGTTGTAGCTGATGCTAGCAATATGCCAGTGTCTGAAATTAATACTTCTTGAGGTAATCTGTAATAAATATGATATTAGGCATTTGAAAATCAGAGGAAATAGTTGCAAAACTATTACCTAGAACAGAAACACTTTGTTGTTGGTAGGTTAGTGTCAGGATACATAAATCGAAATACAGGGATGGCTACTGGTACAGCAGCCCATAAATATGGTCACCATGACAGTGGTTTGTTCACTCATTTGTAATTTCTTGGTGCACTTTGCAGCATTCTGACCCTCTGAAGAGCAGCTTGGAAAGAACTTCTTTTCTAGCATTGGGAGGGAAAGTATCTCATCTTTGAGTTAATGCTGTGCTTTGCTAGACATTCAAATTACAGAATGGAATCCACAAGTACCAGGTTAATTGAAAATATAATTCATTCTCTCTTTTTGCACTGTTCTTTGGAAACACTTGGCATGTCTGAAGTTCATATGTTACGTTCAAGACAAGATTCCTCCTACACCAAATTGCCTGTGTTTGTTAAAGAGCCCAGCAAAGGCCAGAGATAAATAGTCTGAAATGGAATGGAACAGGATATTTTCTGTAACGAGAATGACAGCAGCTATTACTCTGAATAAATGAAATGGAATAAATATACTTTAAAGGGAATAACTCCACATTCTTCTTCATGGTCTCTGTACATCACAAATAATGGGTACTGCGCCTGCGCCGAGCCTGTTGCCAGCCAGAATACCCAAGCTGCAGTGGTTTTTGACGGAAACTCTGCACCTCTCCCCGCTGGTGCTATATAATGTGGAGTGCCCGCCATTTTCCTCAGTCTTCTTTCGACCGCTAATCGCATTGCCTCGAGCCATTACCTTGTCTTCTCGTATCTGCTTGTTCTAAATCGTTCTTTCTTCCCAGTTGCATCCAAGTTATTTCTCCTTGTTCCAGTTAATTCTTTCCTCTTTCTGTATACTTAGTATATTTCTTCCCTTTCTTCTCTTTACCTTGCTATCCATTCGGCGATGGCTCAGCATGCGGCGTTTAGAAAGTGTTCGAAATGTGGGGCTAAGAAGTTCCCGGCGGACCCTCACGAGCTCTGCCTCCTTTGTTTAGGAGAAGGGCATCACACAGATAAGTGCAGACACTGCCTGGCCTTTACCAAACAGGCCAGGAAAAATTGAGAGAACAGGCTGAGAAAGATCCTCTGGGATCAAGCTTTGCAGGATTCTGATGAGCTTGCCTCTCAATCTATGTTGGCCAGGTCTTCCATGGTAACCTCCCCTCGACCATCTGGGGGAGCGGCTTCCGAGGAGATCTCTCACTCCTCCCACTCCTTGCTCAAACAAAAGGAGAAGCAGAAGCATTCTGACCACGGGGATCCATTGGTCCTGAAAAAGGCCAAAAAGGACAAGTCAGGCAATCCCACTAAGAAGTGCAGATCCGCTCCGGAACCACGAAAGGACTCGGACCCGACTGTCTTACTGGTCCCGGCGGCACCTTCAGTCCCGACAACCTCAGCACTGACGCTGAGAGAAATGATGCAAGTCATGCCACCAGGATCCCCACGGAGGATTGAGCCTGTGGACCCGATACATCCTCCCGAACCGATCATTCACGGGTCGATGTCCGATGGGGAGATTCATGATTCCCCCCGAGGTCCTTGCTTTGCCACGACCCCAATGCCATCCTCCCCAGAGGTTTCCAGGAGGACTACGGCGATCAAACCCGACAGACAATGGCGTTCATTGTGACAGTCCACTAGGTCATGGATTCCGTTGCCATATGAAGGACCAGAGGCATCTCAACCTCAATACTGGGGGCCACCCCCATTCGGCTATTACATGCCTAAGGATGACGCCCGTCGGTCCCGACAATCCGGAGAGAGGGCTCCATCTACTTCAGCCCCGACGACCTCCTGCCATCCTCCTTCTCCAGCGCGTTCATCCTCTAGTCCGCCCTACCCATATGATTCTGAGTCAGAGGACTCTGTTGACTGCTCTACATCTCCAGCAGCAGTCATCTCCACCCAGGGACCTGGGTCGCAGAGGAATCCTACGCTACCTTCGGGAAGCTTATGGGCCGACTGACAAGAGCTTTGGAGATAGAGGTTGAGCATCAACCCAGTACAAATAAGGACAACTTGTATGACATTGTCCGCAAAGAACAGTCATCGGCAATCACCATTCCGTTGATTACAACTTTGCGGGAGGCTATGGAAGAGACATGGACCTTCCCCGATCTACCTCAGTCGACCTCGCGGAGGTACGAGTCCATGTACAAGGTCAGAGAACAGGAGATTCTTTCTGCGACATCCAAAGCCCAATTCGATTGTGGTCGAATCATCTCAAGGGTGAGACAATAGAGAGCACTCGGCCCCCAGGGATAGAGAAGGGCAGAAAATCGACCTCATAGCTAGGTGAATTTACGCAGTAATGGGACTGGGCTTGAGAATTTCAAATTAGGAGGCAATGATGGCGAGGTATCAGTACTTTCTGATGCAGCAACTGGACTCGATTACCTCGTCCATCCCAGAACAACAACACGATCTCGCCCATGTTTTTATTCGAGAGGTGATGCAGCTGGCAATACAGTAGCTCACCACAGCCTGCCATCATGTTGACTGCGATTCTCGCACCCTAGTGGGCTCAGTTGCTCTCTGGAGGCATGCCTGGCTACGTTTCTGCAACTTCCTGAAAGAAACTAAGAAAAGGATTGAGGGGATGCCGTTAGACGGTTCAGGCCTCTTTCATGATTGGATGGAGCACAAGCTCGAGCATACCTACAGTGCTCGAGCCACTACCAGGAAAATGGAAATCCCCGGCTCGAACCATCGTAAGTGGCAGCAACCTAGATATCATCGATACCAGCCATACCATCGGTACCAGCCATGCCAGCAGCAGTTTCCTCAGCGGCAACAGCGAAACCATTCGCAACTGGCTGCCCAATATCAACAGGGCTGCCGTCGCCAGCCTGTCGATAAAAGGCAACGTTGATGGGCACCGCGAACCCATCTTCTCTCTCCTTCTACACCCCTCCCCCCTCCCTACAGGGGCCAGCTGCAAAGCCGACTCCCTCTTTGGGAGACCATCACATCTGTTAAATGGGTCCTTTCCATAGTTTGGCTACAGAATCGAGTTTGATCTCGTTCCTCCTTCGGGACCGAATTCATACACCGCACCATCAAAAATTCTTAGAAAAGAAGTATCTCAATTACTCCAGAAGGGAGCAATCCGCCAGATTTCACACTCTGATGGACTCTGCGGTTTCTACTCGAGGTACTTCACAGTACCGAAGAGAGATGGCGGCTCACGCCACATACTCAATCTAAGAGGCATCAACGCCTTCATCACGACTAGGAAATTCCATATGACCACTCTCCTAGAGAGAGATTATTGGTTTGCATCTGTTGACTTAAAGGATGCCTATTTTCATATCGGCATCCACCCATTTTTAGAAGGTTTCTCCGATTCACAGTCGGTCCCGACATTTTTGAATATAATGTACTTCCTTTCGGACTTGCCAAAGCCCCTAGGGTATTCACAAAATGCATGGCTCCGATATGTGCTCACCTTCGCCAACGAGGACTCCAAATTCACCCATATTTGGGCGATTGGCTTATAGTCTCTTCTTCTCGGGACCGACTTGTGGCAGATGTTCACACCACGTGTGCTCTTCTGGAAGACTTGGGACTCCTTATTAATACTGAGAAATCCTGTCTCACTCCTTCACAGGTCATCGAGTTTATAGGAGCACAACTCAATTCGGTTTGAGCCCGGGCATATTTACCATGAACCCGTATGGACAGACTTTGCTCAATAGCCCGTCGGGTCCAAAGAAGCGGACGGGTTCAGGCATTACTCATACAAAAACTGTTGGGCCATATGGCATCCACAATTGTCGTAGTTCCCAATGCCAGACTTCGAATGCGGCCACTTAAGCTGTGGTTCAACATGGCTTTTCAGCCCCTCCACAATTTGCCAAGACGGCTTCTTCTTCCACCCACTTCGGTTCGTCAGGCGCAAACTTGGTGGATGGACCCGGACAATCTCATGGTCAGCGTCCCATTTCACCAGCGACAGCCCTCCATTGCGCTCCATACCGATGCGTCCCTTACAGGATGGGGAACATACTGCTCCAACCTACAAACTCAAGGCACCTGGCAAGCACACGAGAGAGAAAATCAGATCAACTTCCTCAAGCTGCTTGCAGTGTTCAAAGCATTACGATCTTTTGAACCCATGCTTCGAAACCGATCAGTACAAGTAGCCTCCGACAACACAGTTACCGTATTTTACATGAACAGACAGGGTGGAACAAAATCGGTACTGTTAGCTCAGCTAGCCATGCAGATCTAGGACTGGTGTATCCCCAGGGGGATTTCACGGCAATCAGCCTTGCGGGGATTCACAACCAGGAGGCAGACACCCTGAGCAAGAAGTTGTTGTCGACCCAGGAGTGGGAACTGGACGATCAAGTGTGCAGAGACCTTTTTACCTGGTGGGGTACCCCGACTCTAGACCTGTTCACGACAGCGTCGAATTCGAAGTGTGTGACCTACTGCTCCAGGGCGGGAATGGGTCCGAACTCATTAGGGGATGCATTAATGGTGACTTGGTCGGATTCATTCCTGTACGCTTATCCACCAATCCCATTGATCACTCGCACTCTGGAGAAAGCTGCTCGGGACTGGGCACACCTGATTCTCATTACTCCATGGTGGCCCCACCACCCCTGGTTCTCGACCGCTCTCAGGCTGTCAAGACACATGTTCTGTCATCTACCACGAATTCCTCACCTGATTTCGCAGGGGAAGGGGACAATCCTTCACTCCGACCTCAATACTCTCAACCTTACCGCATGGCTCCTACACTAACAGTCGCGGTCGACCCCGTCGTGCTTCCACAGAACTCCTCAATCCCGACGTCACAAAGTCAGTCGGTACCGGGAGAACCTGCCTGATTGTCTTCCGACGCTACATCACGGCGAGATACTGACTTTATCTTACAATTCGCCTTCGACCGTCCACTCGACGAATCGTATGAGGCGAAATGGAAATGCTTTACCACATTTGCAGAAGTGATTCGTTTTACCCCAGAATTAGCTTCCATTGATAATATCTCCACTTTCTGCTTTCTCTACATCAATTGGGACTTAAACCTATGTCGATTAAAATCTATATTGCAGCTATATCACACTTCTTTGGTTCCCTTTTGGGTTCATCTGTGTTCTCCCATGCACTCATCTGGTGATTCCTTAAGGGACTGCAAAATCTCCACCCTCCAATCTGACCATTGGTTCTGACTTGGAGTCTGTCTGTAGTCCTCCATGCACTCGCTAGAGCTCCCTTTGAACCTCTTGCGACGACGGACCTGAGACTGCTATCTTGGAAAGTAGCCTTCTTGGTTGCCATTACATCAGCAAGAAGGGCAAGTGAACTATCTGCCCTCCGCGTGGATCCACCATATCTTAATTTCCATAAGGAAAAAGTAGTGCTCCATACTGATCTGGCGTTCCTTCCCAAGGTGGCCACACCATTCCACTTCAACCAGGACATTGTGCTTCCAGCGTTCTTCCCATCCCCGTCCACACCAATAGAGAAATCTCTTCGCTCCCTGGATGTGCGCCACTGTGTAATTTTCTATCGATCACGTACAGAAGGCTTCAGAAAGACTAAACGTCTGTTCATCGGATACTCCGACCCTGATAAAGGCGCACCTCTCTCTTCACAGAGATTATCAAAATGGATAGTCCAGACTATTGAACTGGCCTATAAACTGGCGAAAATGGACCTTCCTGTGACACCCAGGAGCCATTCCACTAGGGCCATGGCAGCCTCATCAGCCTTCTTGTCGGGCATTCCGCTGCATATCTGTAAAGCAGCTACACGGACAACTCCTGTACCTTTACCAAACACTACAGGCTTGATGTCCGGGCCAGGCAGGACTGCTCCTTTGGACGGGCCGTCCTATCATCCATTCTTCACTGATGACACCGACCCACCTCCAGTGAGTGAAGCTTGTTAATCACCCATTATGTGTGATGCACAGAGACCACGAAGAAGAAAGGTTACTTACCTGTAACCCTCGTTCTTCGAGTGGTCATCTGTGCAGTCACACAACCCGCCCTCCGGCCCCACTCAGTGTCGAGGGACAGGATAGTAGTCTTTCTTTCTATCGACTTCTCTGATGAGTGGTACGCTCCGATAGGGGGCGATCTACTGGTCTCCAGAGCCTGAGGAAAATGGCAGGCGCTCCGCCTTATATAGCACCAGGGGGGAGGGGTGCGGAGTTCCCGTCAAAAACCGTTGCAGCTTGGGTATTCTGGCCGGCAACAGGTTCTGCGCAGGCGCAGTACCCATTATGTGTGACTGCACAGATGACCACTCGAAGAATAACAGTTACAGATAAGTAACCTGACTTTCTTTATACCTAGAATTTTAGAAATAAATAAGAAAAGTACTTGAAAGGGTTTCTGCTTTTCTGCATATTTTTTGATATTCAGATTATCCTTAGTTGTATACCTGATTTGTTTGTACTTGTGAAATGAACCTCTGGGTTAATTGCTGCTGTATGTATTTTACATATCCATATGCAAGTAAATTTAGTATCTTTGTATTCTACTTTTCACTTTATGATTGAGTTTGATAATGCTATATTCATGTGATGGATTCTCTTAATCAAAAAGAGTTATTTATAGTTAATGCCTACCTATGTTGTAGGAGAGAAGAACCTTCACTTATCTTAGAAATTCTGCAGAAGCTGTCAGAATCAAAAAGATTTGATATGGCAGTAATGTTTATGTCAGATTCAGAGAAAAAATGTAAGTAAATATGCATACTTGAATCTTTGATTCTTAGTTTTTCATCTTTTCCTTCCCCATCAGAAAACAAGATAATGTAGCTGCTACTTTGGTAGGTTTGAGTGGAAACAGGAGTGGACATACTGGTATCCAATCTCAGCCACATTAAAATCTTGTTCTGTCCTTTGGGTCATTTTAAAATAGCTTCTCAGTGTGGAACAGGATATTACCTAACTAGACGAAGAGATGGCTATCTCTGCTCCTTTTCATTTTTCTTCAGTAATTAAATTTATATCCCAGCTTTCTTCTAAAATAGAACTCAAGAACCCTAACAATGAAATACAGAAGAAATTTAAATTCTTCTTGAGGTGCAATCCTGTGACCACTAGAGGGCCATAGCAAAATTTGGAATCCCAGCTCCAAACTTGGGAACTTGCTGCGAGGTCAGGGCTAAGACTCTTAGGTTGGATTATCCCCTCTCTATTAGTGCACCATTGTGGAAATACTGTACTGGCTGTGACTGTCTGGGTGCAAAAGCAACCTTAGAGTTTCATTTGCGTTCTGTGGGCAGAGAAGGGGAGAGGTTTCATCAGCATATGTAGTATCCTGGCAGCACCTGAGCCTGTCTTCTTCATACTCTGGGGCAAAACAAATGACTGAAATTGGCCATTTAAGTGTTTTGCCAGGAGAAAAAGCATGAAGGTAACCTTCACTTCTATGTTCTTCCAGTGTCCCTAAAATGCCTGTAATCCTTCAACTATGGAGGTTTACGGGCAGTCCTGTTTCTGTCAGATGAGAAAGAACAGTTGTCCACCTGGCTAGATATAGCACAACTGCAAGTTAATTTTAGGCATACTTAACTCTAAATAAGATTCCTCTATCTTCCTCAGTGAGCCAATCTTACATCCTGTAAGGGCTGCAGAATGTTGAGGGAGATTTTGCCTCACATGTTAGAGGAAAATCATGGCATTGGTTCACTTTGTGTCTTCCTTCTTGTGTAAACATGAAGTGAGGTTTTTTAGTTCAATTTAAAAGGTTCTGATGAAACATGGTGCCTTTCATGGCTGTGTTATACCATATCATATGATGGCCCTTTGCACTTTAAAGTGACTGCACTTTAAAGTGACTGCATTTTTACTGTAGCATGAAGGCTGTATCTTCTTTATTATAGCTTAATTGTTCAAATATGTATTCTGAAACATATTTGGCTAAGACAACATATAACAGCTGATAAAAATCTTAAGAAATGTATTGCTCTTTCTCTCCTTATAGCTGTACGTTCATTATTTGGTCATCTGGAGCAATCAGCATTAAAAGACTCTTCCATTAAACAACTGAAGATCAGATACAGTGTTTGATATGAATGGCTTGTTCTCTCTGTAAAGATACAGTGGAGTATGCACCTTTTTGGAAAGGCAATTCCAAATGATGAAAGACTATGGCTGAGAGGATTCAAAGTGCCTTTCACCTGTGCATAAGAAAGTCTTCAGTCTCTTCTCCTCTCCTCTGCCCTATGTCTTTTATCCTCGAAAGTCCCTCCACTTTAAATAATGACTCTTGTCTGGGTGTGGGAGGAAATCCCTTTGTGCATGCACTGGTCCATGCACAGTTCTTTAGATCAAAGCTGATGAAAACAGGTAAAGCATATTTATGTGGAAACAGTTTGATCCTTCAGTTTAGCAAGGTACCTCATAGGATATAGTGTGACCATTTGTTATCCTTTGGTCATAGTGTAGAATCAAGGCTGATAAAATATTTTATAAATTTTATTTTTGTGTGTATAAATTAATTTGCTTGTTAAAAATTATTCTGTATTTTTGTTCGTATAAATAAATTCAGAAATGTTTAATTCCAATGTTTTCAAAAGTGTGTTATTTCCTTACCAATTCCAACTTTGTGATACCTCTTGGCTCATTTTCAGGCTTAGACAAATTAGAATCCCCCCTTTTTAAGCACTTGCCACCTTGTCTTATTGTCTGTTTCACTTAATCATTACCTCTGGTTGAGTTCTATAATTCCTTCTGCTAAGTATCCATTGGTCATTGCTTAGGTTGTACCAGCCTCATCTTTTTGAAAGTAGATGACTTATGCATCAAGATTGTTTTTCTAACAGTGCAGTTTTGGGGCTATCCTTTCTCCCCTTCCTGGAGGAGGTATTGATAATCAGCAATGGACCTCGTTTCTTTTAGGTTAGTTTCATAATAAAAATAACAACACATGCTCATATGCATGTCACTATCACACCAATCTTAAGTAAATCCTTTTTAAAGACGGATAAAACCCACAAAACACCTTACAGATTCTGTACCATTACTAACTCACATTCTAGTAATGTGAATTCAATGTGAATTGAATATGACTGATCTGATCAACAATGCAATGTGCTAAATGGGTCATTGATTCAGTAACCAAAAGGAAAGGCTTGAATACAATTAAGCTAGTAATAAAGGTAGTAATTCACCTGACAGAACTGGTTTATCTTTTGTTCTGAATTCTAATGCTGAACAATAAACACAACCACTACACCACACTGAGAGCCAGTGTGGTGGTGTGGTTAAGAGCATGGGACTGGGACTCAGACAATCTGGGTTCTAGTCCCTGCTCAGCTATGGAGCCAACCGGGTGACTTTGGGCCAGTCACAGACTCTCAGCCCAACCCACCTCACAGGTTTTTTGTTGTGGGGATAAGATGGAGGAGGAGATTTAAGCTGCCTTGAGCCCTTTGTAGGACAAAGGCAGGATGTAAATTGATAACTAAATAAATAAAACTTGAAAGGTAAAAGTTTTTATTTGTAAGCATGAACAGGAAAATATACTGTTTAAGGTTTCTGCTTCTAATTCTGTTGGCCCATCATAGCAAATCAAAGTATTCTGCCCAAGATACTGCAAAAGGTTACTTTGTTTCTCTCTTGAGAAGAGTAAAAGAGTAATGTGTCTGAGGTGATACACATGGACCTGGGCTTGGGTGAGCATACTATGTATTGCCAAAAAAGGTTGAAAGATGCATAGCATTGTCATGTGCAGATTTGGTAATAACTTAAATAGAAAGGAAATATATGCCACCATAGTGGAGATGGCTAGTTAGGTGACCTATGTCTGATTAGTCTGCTGTAGATCAGTTGCTTCCAGGTTCAGGTTGTTTTTCTGATAGCTATTCATCTTGAAACAGGGCTTGGAGTAGACACAGGGCAGTCTAGCAGTTGTGCCCTCCATGACCTTAAGCTTCTGAATGCAGAGGCTTACAATCACTCTACACAAGGTGGAAGGGGCGGAGAGGCAATCCTCACCTCACCATCCCCCCACCCATATCTTTTGCTAGATGAGCTCTCTTTCTGCCAATCTAGCAGTGGTGCTTCAGAGGGGGAGGGACTGAGGCCAACAGAGATTCAGGATAGCCAAGGGACCCTGCCTCTTCAGTGTTCCACCCACTGAAACATCCCCTTTTCCCCTCTCAGAGGTAGCCTGGTCAGGGAAGCCGACCAGCACACACAAGCTGCAAGGCTGACCACTAGGGAGGACTGAAAGGAGAGGGATAGGATTGCTTCTTTCTCCTCTTCAAGCTTTTTAAGGGGCTTTGGGAGCTTTTACTGAGATTGAGATCTTGCTTTCATTGTTTTACAATCTGGCTATGCTAATAGGATTGATCTTTGTGGCGCTGTGTTTTTATATAGCTAACATATTTATGCCTTATATTCATTGTATTTGAAACCATTTTGTGAATGCTGCTTGCTTTGTTTATGGGGCAGCATAAAATAGAGCAAATAAATAAGTAGTTGAAATGATTATCTAATGCATCTACCCTTATGAAATACAGGCTACCTCTTTAAACAACAAATGCACAAAGAAAAGAAGCTCTGCAATTTACCCAGTGTTGATATTATGAAACTTGAGTACTAGGTTTACCCTCTTTTCATACGTTATGACAGTAAAATAGTTGGGGGGAAATGCTTTTTAAAACCTTTGACTCGTTTATAAAAAATTGTCAGGATGGCAATTTCGGGGTCAATATTCCAGTATATAAGGACAGGCTGGAGTAACAAAATCACTTGTCCATGCCAGACATTGTGCCCAGACTAGGCTGACGCATTCCCTCATCCCCTTTTGCTCTCACTTACCTTGGCTCATTTTGGCCAAAGACAAGAGAGTTGGAATTGGCATTGGGATACCTTCTGTAGATTATTTCAATCTTACTGCTCTGTTTTTCTCAGACTCACTGGAGAAAGTTAAATTCTCTACCCTCGACAGACAGGTATTGCCAAGACATTGCTAGGAGTTGTTGTACAATGCAGAGCAGCTGAGAAAGTCTTTTGGCAACCAGACAGAACACTACTAACAGGCACAAGAGCTAATGAATCATGTGACCTACCACCTCAGAAGCCCTGCTGGCTCATGCTGATGGAAACAGGAAGCTTCTTTGGGATGAGTCGGATGGGTTCTTTCTGTTTCCAGCAGTTCTATTTCCATTCCTACCCCATTGGTTTCAGTTAACTATGGAGAAATTAACAATGTGAGTTCCAGGTTCTACTGACAAACCAGCCCATGACTGGAAACAGTTCCCCTACTTCTGTCTTCCAGAATTTTGGAAGAGGGTGTGAGTAGCTGCAACCTTAAAGAGGATTCTGCCTTTTGTTACAGGCCTCATTTGTCATTACCTTGTTTCCGAATTGGGTCCCTCTGCATATGAACGCACGCCAAACAACGGGCATACACATGTACACTAGACAAAAGGCTAGACTAGCGGCTTCGCTGGAAAGGGTTGGGCATCACTTGCACAGCACCAAGCTATTGGATGGCTGAGGAGGAGAAAAACAAGTTTCTTTAATGTTCCTACTGTATTCTGGTTCATCGCCTTTTGCTTGGTGAGGAATATGACTTACTGTATGTTGAAAATGTTTGTAGCTTCTTAACGGATTTATCAAAGGACATCTCTCTGTGCTACAGGCAGCCAGAAAGTTAGCAAATGCCTCCGCTGCACAAAATTGAAAACTGCCTTTTTGTGTCACTGAGATGCCAGGACAAGCGTTCGGCTAGTTTGCTTTTGCTGGTTTATATGGCACAATGAAGGTATAATATTGGTGTTGAGGTCCTTGCTGGTACTGCCACCACTACTTCATTTATAACACCAAGCATCATTCCAGGGCATGGGGGAGTGCAGAAAGAATGCAGCCACCGCAAACAAGTAATACTGAAGAAAATCTGGAGAACATTCTGTGCAGTGGCCTTTAATTTCTAGGAAGGATGAGAAAAGAAGTCTCTCAGGATTTTTCTGACAAAAATGTCTTCTGAGAAATCTGACTCCGCTGCAGTTGCCCTCCTTCAGCACGTAGTACCATCTCCGAGATCTTCCAAATGAATACAATTTCTTCAAGGGTGGTTGTGGACACCTCCTTTCTCAAGTGTGGCTCTGGTTCTTCTGCACCATCTCTAAAAGCCTCTTGGGGTATGAGGGTCGCATCCAGCTCCAGAGAAAAGCTGCAGTTAGTGCCTGAAGGTTTCTTATCTCATGAAAGAGGCTTCCATTTTTCTGCCTCATTCTCCAGGCATTTAATCCTTTTTTTTTTTTTTTTGCATGTATGTTGGTGAGGGTTTTATTTATTTATTCATTTTTTACTTTCCCCAATCACTTTGAGGTGGCTGAAGGTGCCACATGTGCTTTCCAAATGTAGAGATCTCTGCACCCTCCCTGGTGACCCACATTTCCTGATCAAAAAGTCCCCATGGGGAGATTTAAGCCATGACGTTTTCCCCGGTGCAGGGATTATGAAAAAACAAGGACTGTCAGGAAAATGCCAGTTGGGTGTTGCACAATACAGGGCAACCCATTTGTAACTGGAGGCTTGCTGGGACCTGCTGCTTGGCCTGAATGAAGGTCTAGCTGCTGCTACTTGTCCCTGATTTTTTAAAGAACTGAGTGTTCTGCTGGGAGTATAGAAGGGGCAACCCCAGGTCTGCAGGTTGCTTCTGTTGCATGCAGCTTCTTGGGAGTCTCAGAAAAAATGCTTTAGATATAGTAAGTGTGTTATTTAAAATTAGTGTGTGGTGTAGTGGTTAAGAGTGCAGGACTAGGACTCAAAAGAGGTTCAAGTTCCCGCTTAGTCATGGAGCCAGTTGAGTGACTTTGGGCCAGTCGCAGCCTCTCAGCCCAGCCTACCGCACAGGGTTGTTGTTATGAGAATAAGATGTGGGGGGAGGTATTCTGTAAACCACCTTGAGTGCCTTGGAAGGAAAAAAAGGTGGGATAGAAAAATAATAAATAAATGAATAAATGAATAAGTTGGTCTCAGGCTTCCAGAGATAGGACTGTTTAATGAAAGACAGGACGCCCACACACACTCTTTGGCCTCCACGTGACTAAGGAAAGCACAGGCACCTTAAACCATGAGAATTTATCTGAATTTCCCCCCTTTCAATTTCTTTATTCTTTTCTACTGAATTGAATAAAAACGTGGGAGAAATTTTTGGCCCAGCACTCTCACCTGCGATTAGAGTCACAGTGTGCAAGCTTGAGATGAGGGGTTTTGTTCATTGTTAGTGATGTCATGGAAACTAGCAACAGATGCCTATGATGTTTAAACAACCACACTCCACACAGCACTCAAAAGTTTAGTGGCTCTCCCAGTGCTGGAAAAGCAGAATTTATCCCAGCAGCAACATTCTTCTATTTTGCAATCAAGGAAAGTAACCCCAACAAAGGAGCAATAATTAACTATGCATTTATTAAACTATAAATGGAATGATCCTAGAAGTTTTAGAGCATAGGGTAGCTGACAAGTGCCAGTGCTATTTTCCAAGGAATTTAACATGCTTTAAAAGTCATTGTGTGCTGTTCTGGGCCTTTGTTTCTCTTGTCCTTTT